CTCTAACTCAAAAAAAAGAAAGAAAAACAAGACAGAAAACTCCCAAAAGAAAACTTGTGTATGTAGGCTTTCCCAGGTATTGGTTGTAAAAGTGATATAGGGGGAGTATTGGCTGGCCCACTGCTTCCTGTGAGACTAGGTTGGCAGGGGTCTCGGAAAGCTTAACTCGCTTCCCTGTGTTGTGTGTTTGTGTCAGCAAATTACCTGTAGTGGTGCATCATTCAACCTCCAGGCCAGCAGGTGGCACCTATGAGTAAGAGCTGGTTACTATCAATATGGATGGGTATTTATTTGATCACTGTTTACTGGAAGAAGTGCTCTGTTGTCTCAGTGGTGAGTGTATCTGTGAAGTGCACTATGGTCTGTGTTCCTGGTTCAGCCCTGGGAAGGAGAGAGCCAAGGTAGATGGGGCCAAACTAGGCAGGCCACCCATGGGTCCACTGATGTCAGGCACAGGAACCCACTCCAAGGCGGAGTCTGGTGTGTGGCCTCTGAACACCCAGAGGTGTGCCTTGGCGGTGTGTTAAGGGACCTCTGATGCCTCAATTTCTCTGCTCAGGAAGGAAAGGGCAGCCTAAGCTCCTAATCTAGAAGTGTGGGAGCTCCAGGTACCCGGTGATATGTCTGAGTGTTGGGCAGAAAGAGCAATGCAGCACCAAGGACTCTACCCTCAGGGGGAGGAGTGACTCAGACTCCTACTCCAGGTGATTGTGTGTGCTAGGGTGTGGAGCACAGGGACCTCGTTGTGCATGAAGCAGCCCAGGAAGGGTGGGGTAGCTTAGGTTATTAATCAGATATAGAAATGGGGGCCACCTGATCCTTGGTACTGGGTGGGGGAGACACACTTCCCCAATTCACTTGAGGGGCAGGCTGTGGTGCCCTGCAGAGACAACTGCAGCTCCATTCTGGGGGTCACAGAATGACGCTGGCTTCAGGCCTTGTTACCCAGAAGAAACCATGGGATCAGGAACTCTTCTGCTACTCAGGCTGCTGATTCAAGTGCAGAGGCGTGAGGGTGCCTCCTGCTGGTATCCTGCCCCTTAGACTGCCTTCTCAATTGTGCAGGAGTAGAGAGCCCTCTTTCCTCAGTATTGCTGGGGCATGCTACCCCAGCTAGTCTGGAAGGGAGGTAGGAGTTCTTAACAGTGGTGCTTGTTGAGGAGTTTCACATGGCAAAGCTGACATTGGCTGCAGGGTCTGCTGTTCTTGAGAAATTGCTGTTACAGCAACTCTCTTTCTGCTCAGGATGCAGGTTCCAGAGTGTGGGAATGGGGGCTCCCTGCTGTGCTCCTGTCACTTAGGCTGTTATTTTGAGTGTTCCTTGGTATTGCTGGGTCCCCTTGCTGCAACTGGTCAGAGGGGTAGTGTAGGGTGAAGTGCTCAGGCAGTGATACACAGAGATTGATTCTGGGTGGAAGATCTGACCCTGGTAGCCTGTCTCTTCAATAGGAAAACGCAGCTTTGGGGGTGTTGTTCCCTGGAGCTCCCAGCTGTAGGCTGGGATGAGCCCAGGTCCAGTTCTAAACCCTGGGGCGATCTCCAGGCTCCCATCCTGCTCTGGCTGTGGGAGACCCCTCTCCCACTCCAGAGTGAGCAGCTTTGTTTCTGGGCAGAAACTGAAGTGCCTACAGGGTTCACTGTTGTTAAACCATGGACCTGGGTCAAAAGTAGAGTCTGCCTCACCAACCCAGATTTGGGAGAACACCTTTGGTTTTACTGGGTGTCTTTCCCTCTCACCAACTCAACCTTCCGGTGAGACAGATTCAGGACCCAGGAAAAGCAGGGTGCTTTCCCATGGCCTGAGTTAAGATTGGAAGATATGTCTTAGAGAGGAGTTTTCAGTCCTGTCCTGTGTCTCACGGTCCCACTCACTGGTACCACTCACTGATTTTGGCATAACGCAGTTGCAGGGTCTATTCCCCCATCCTCTCCTCCCTGAGATCTGGGGTGTCCTTTGCTGTTCTGATGAATATCCGTGCTCCTTCTGGAATTGGGGTTCACTGTGCTGGTCTTTCCACACTATTTCACAATGTTGTGATGGTTGAAAAATGCATCAGCACCTTTCATCTGCCATCTTTTAGGTCATAGGATTCACTCTTGATGTTCTACATTCTCTAGGTTTTTTTTTTTTTCTGAGTTGGAGTCTTACTCTGTCGCCCAGGCTGGAGTGCAGTGGCACACTCATGGCCACCCCAGTATTGACCTGCTGGGCTCCGGCGATCCATCCGCCTCAGTCTTCCAAGTAGCCAGAACTATAGGTGCGTGATACCATGCCCTACTAATTTTTGATTTACTGTAGAGACAAGGTCTCGCCAAGTTGCCTGGGCTAGTCTTTGAACCCGCGGGCTGAGGCAATCCACTCGCCTCAGCTTCCCAAAGTGCTGGGATTACAGACTCTGAGCCTGGCCAACATTCTCTAGGTTTTAACAGGTGTTTCATGACATGTAGTCATCGTTATTATACAGAGTGGTTTCACTGCCCCACAAACCCTCTGTGCTTAGTCAACCCATCTCTCTTTCTCCCCATGACCTGGCAACCATGCTTTACTCTCATTTGTAATGGTTTTTGTATTATTTTCTAGTTTTCCTTCTTGATTCTAAATACATATATTTTACCCATTTACCTTTCCTGTCTACTAGCTTTACATAATGGAGTTGCTAGATTAAATTATTGAAATGAATATTACATATAAAATAAAAATTGAGTTAAATTTACTTCAGATTATGCTCTTTATTCTACAAAGTTGCTCAAATGCATCTTTTTTAAACAAGAAAGAAAAAAAAGAAAGGCAAAAAACAATTTTGTGGACTGGAAATCTCGAACAGCAACACTTTTAATTTTGACCAAATTTTAATAATCAAGAATCAATTGAGACTAGGTTCAGTGGCTTAGCCTGTAATCCCAGCACTTTGGGAGACCAAGGTGAGTGGATTGCCTGAGCCCACGGGTTCGAGACCAACCCAAGCAACTTGGTGAGACCTTGTCTCCACAATAAAATAAAAAATTTTCCAAGCATGGTAGCACACGCCTGTAGTTCCAGCTACTTGAAAGGCAGAGGTGGAAGGATCGCCAGAGCTCAGTAGGTTGACGCTGGTGTGGCCATGAGTGTGCCACTGCACTACAGCCTGGGTGATAGAGTGAGACTCCAACTCAAAAAAAAAAAAAAAAAAGAATCAATTGAATCAGCAATTTTGAAGATTTAAATTTTGAAGAATCAAGATGTAATATTTCCAGATGCTCAGTGCTACCAACACTGCCTCACTATCCACTTTCTTTACCCAAGTCATCTGAATTTTATCAAACATCCCTTTGTTAAAGGAACAAGACCAGACTCGGAAGTTTCACATGAATTTCTATTCCAGATAGAATCACCACCGCTTTCCTGTTTTTCATATATGCTCCTCAAAGGCCTGGGGTTCCTGAAATAACCTACCTTCAGAATTATAGTGAAGATTAATGTTTTACAGAAGTCATGATAAGTAAGTTGAAAAGATTAAAGGTAAAACAGTTAACAATCAACGGAGTAGGCAAACATAAAACCTGGATCTGGATGCACCGGGAAGAGTTTTTTCTTTCTTGAAAGGAAGCAGAGATCCCTGCCGTTTGTGGCTTTACCTGGTGGCCCTCGTGGGCCTGTACTACCTCTTGCACTTGTACCCGGATAGGCAGGTGGTAAGCTGCTCCCAGACAAGTTCCTCTTCATCGTGGGCTGTGACTTGAGCTTTGGCAACCTGCTGGCCAGACAACTGAACAGGTGAGACTTCATGGAGTCATTATAGGAGGACTCACAAAAAATGTTAGTATTCATGGAGTAAGTGAATAAATACAGGCATATCTTCGAGATATTGAGGGTTCGGCTCTAGACCATCGCAATCAAGTGAATGGCAATAAAGGAAATTACACAAATTTTTTGGTTTCCCAGTACATATAAAAGTTACTTTTATACTATACTACAGTCCATTAAGTGTGCAATAGCACTGTGTCTAAAAAGTCAATGTACATACCTTATTTCCAAATACTTTATTGCTAAAAATGCTAGTGATAATTTGAGCCTTCAGTGAGTCATATTTTTGCTGGCGGGGGGTTTTTGCCTTAATGTTGATGGCTGCTGACTGATGAGGGTGGTCATTGCCGAAGGTTGAGGTGACTGTGGCATTGTTTCTGAAAACAGACAACAATGATGTTTGTCACATTCATTGACTCTTCCTTTCACAAAACAATGCTATTACTAAAAAATATACATACATATGTGTAACCCTGGCTGCAGGGCCCAAGACACGAAACAGCTGCAGTTCTTTCAGAAAGGTGTCTGAGAGCCCGAGTTACAGCAGCTAATCTCTGGATGGGATCCAAGAAGTGGGCTCTGTTAAAATCAGACTGCTCCCTGCCCTGGACTCCAGTGAGGAATTTGCATCCCAGTATCCAATGGACATTATGGGACGGGGGCTGAGGAGCACAGGAAACTCTCTGGCTGGTCAGAGCAGCTCTTTTCTTTTGGCTTTTCATTTTGGCAAGGAGGTTTCTTTCCTTTTTTTTTTTTTTTTTTGAGTTGGAGTATCACTCTGTTGCCCAGACTGGAGTGCAGTGGCCACCTCAGCCTTCTGAGTAGCCGGAATTACAGGTGTGCGCTACCACGCCCAGCTGATTTTTTGATTTTATTGTAGAGATGAGGTCTCGCCTGCCCAGGTGGGTCTCGAATCCGCGGGCTCAGGCAATCCACTCACCTCAGCCTCCCAAAGGCGTGGAATTACAGGCTGAGCCACCGAGCCCGCGGCAAGGAGGTTTCTGATTCTCCTCCTGAGCAAGGAGATGCTGGTGAGCGTTGCATGAGGCCTGGAGCAGCCTAGACTCTGACCACAAGAGGGAGGTGTTGTAAAAGGAGTGCAGGGGTGGAGATGAGGGGTGTTGCAGGGTGGGGTGGGGTGAGGACAAGGGGTGTTGGGGAGGGGAGGGCGAAAGCAGAGAAGTAGGGAGAGATCCGGCGAAGCTCTCTCAGTCTCCATGACTGGACTCTTCCTGACCAAGTCAGGTGCATATGTGTGTGTGTGTTGCTCAGGGGATACAAGCAATCTGTTTGTAGACAGGTTTTAATTATATATATTTTTTCTTAAATGAGACTATACTCTCAGAATCATTCTTTGTGTGTGTGTGTGTAGGAGTGTCACTCTGTCACCCAGGCTGGAGGGCAGTGGCACGCTCCTGGCCACCGCAGCCTCAACCTGCTGGGCTCAGGTGATCCTTTCACCTCAGCCTTCCAAGTAGCTGGAACTATAGGCACACTATACCATGCCAGGCAAATTTTTTGATTTATTGTAGAGACGCTGTCTCGGCAAGTTGCCCAGGCTGGTCTTGAACCTGTGGGCTCAGGCAATCCTCTCACCTCAGCCTCCCAAAGTGCTGGGGATATAGGTGTGAGCCACTGCGCCAGGCCAGAATCATTTCTATAGTTTGTTAAAAAATCCCTCAGGTTTGATTTCTGAAGGAAATTTCATCACTGTTGGTTTCTCTGCTTTTTTGACCTTTACTCCCTTGGAGTTTGGGAAAGTACTGGTTAGAAGTTGGGGCTGATTTCACACTTAGAAATAGGAACTCTGGGTATGTTCTGAAAATTGGGGATTCTTTACAGTGGGAAAAATGAGTACTTTTGTGGTTAATACTCATAAGTGTGGGGTAAGTCTGTAAAACGTTGGGTAAGCAAAGGGACCTTCTGTGATTGGGCCTTGAAGATGTGTTGATGAAGCTCTGTAGTCTAGTTTGGGGTCACTGCCCTCACCCCACCCCCTTCTCCCTCTGCCCAATCTCTTTGAGTGGGAGTGGTGATTTTTTTTTTTATTACCCACATGGCCAGTAAACCCGGATTTTAGTAGTCTTATTCTTCTTTCCCACTTGTTACCTTTCTAAACCCGTGGAAAACAGAGAGGAAGTAAAATCCAGAGAAAGTAAACAAGAAGTGTTTGAAATCTTACATATATTTCCAAAGAAGAATCCCTCAAGTAATATTTTCCTTTCTCTTTGTGGAATTTTATATACTGAAATGAAATGAAGTACGTTGCAAAATAATTAGAGTATATGGCATCGGCTGCCCAAGTATTTGCTGACTTTTTTCCGCTTGGCACCAGGAAGTTAGACAACTTTTTTGGTGGAGATGGGGAAATCCATTAGTCAAGTTTTATTCTATGACAATTGTGGCATCTTCAAAAGAGTCTGTGGTAAACAGCAGTAAAAGACACATATACAGTAAGGTTGTTAAAATGCAAGTAGAGGTACAAAAAGAAATAGAAAACCAGAGGTGAAAAAGAGAAGAGGAAGAAAAACATGTTCCACTAGCCTAGTCTACAAGGACTAGTAAAATTGCTATGATTGAACATTAAATTTGGCCTTGAAATCCTTTTTTATTTTTTAAATTTAGACACTAGTTCTTTTTTTTTTATTAGTCAGTATTTTTTATTATGGTTTTGTGGGGTACAGTTAAGGGTTAGGTGTACAATTACGTTTCATTCAGGCACCCTGTTGATAAGAGGACACTAGTTCTTAATATGTCACAACCCACTGTATTCGCAAACTAATGGGCTCCTGCCTCAGCCTCTCGAGTACCTAGGACTATAGGCATGTACCACAACGCCTGGCTAATTATTTTTATTTTTGGTGGAAACAGAGGTCTCACTATGTTGCCCAGGCTGGTCTTGAACTTCTGGCTTCAAGCAGTCTTCTGGTTTCAGCCTCTCAAAGTGCTGGGATTATAGGTGAGAACCACTATGTTCGGCCCACAGTGTTCTCGATAAGAATTTTATAACAAATGCAGAAACGATTTTCTTGGACTATTCCTGTTTTTGGTTTAAAGAGTTAGACATGGTGACTGATACCTGTAATTCTAGCACTTTGAGAGACTGAAGCAGGAGCACTGCTTGAGACCAGGAATTTGAAACCAGCCTGGGCAACATAGCAAAACCCCATCACAATGTAGTATAAGGCAGCTCAAGTCTCATTTATCATAACAAGAAGTCAACGGAGAATGTAAAAACTTGATAAATCATGAAACGGCAGTGTAAGCACTGTGTAGAAATCTGTTGGGTCAAAGGACACATACTTAATTGCACAGCTTTTTTGAATGAATGGTTTGTGAAAACAAGCAGGCCACCATGGGTTTGATATTTGAAACATTCGAGGCGTCTTCAGATATTTGATCAGTGTTCAAGTCTGTCCCGGGGTTTGGGATTCTGCCCGGCTCACCTCTTCTGCCAGTCTTCTTGCTGCTGAGCATATGATGGCTGGATAATAAAACCCAGGGGGCCGTGAGGTCCAAGCTTCTCCCTAATGGGGGAAATGGACTTTAATCTTTGACTGGGCATTAGGAAATTATGCGTTTAGTCAATAAACAGCAGGATGCAGTCGTCTGTGTTACTTCAGTGCTCCAGGGAATGCCAATTGGGCAGAACAGAGGCAGCTGGCCAGAGAACACAGGCTCTCAGATTGGAGAGAGACAGGAGGCTTCAGAGAAGGGAAAAGAGAGAGGGTGGAGAAGGGAAAGGAAAGGAGAAAGGAGAGAGCGCACAGAGGGAGGGAGGGAGCATTAGATACCGCAGTCATCTGCTTCCCATCCTCACTGCCTCCTTGTGTTCACTCCTCTACACCCTGTATTGTCCTCCTTCCCCCTCCTTCCTAGACCAGGCTTTTGAAAAAAGAGTCTCCATTTGGCTCCACTTCCTGTCCTCCAGTTCATCCATCGGTTGCTGAAGAGTGGCTTCTGTGCCCGTGGCTTCCCAAGCATCTTCCTGTTCAGATCCTCTGCCCCTTCCTCATACTCAGTGGATATCCCTGTGGCATTCCTGAGCCTCACTAAGCCCCTCTTCCCTTGGCTTCCATCAGCTTTCCTTCTCTACTTCTCAGGTTCATTCTCCCTGCTATTTTCTGGGTCTCTGTTTTTCTCAGGTGTTTTCATTTAACATTCCCCAATTTATCTTGCAACTTTTATTAAACATATGCTTTGTGCCATTCACTGTGCCAGGTGCAGATGAACACGTGACCTGGGCTCCCAAGGGCTTTACAGTCCAAAAATTAGAGAAGCTGGGCAACAAGGTGCAGTGGGTCTCATCATACAACCATGTGAAGGCTGCAGGGGCACACTAGGGAGGCTGGAGACCATTTTGTTAGACCAGGGGACAGGAGACTTTTCTTCCTGGACCATTCTTGTCCCCTCCTTTGCTTGGTGCTGTACTCTGTATCTTGGTGCTCATCTACAAAACAGTGTGGCAGCCATGAAGGCACATGGTTCAGACCTCCCCTCCAGACAGTCTGCTGTGAGGAACGAAGTTGACTTACAGCCTCCAGCCTCTGCACCTTCCAATCTGCTGTGGTATTTAAACTGCAGCACGTTCCTCTTGGGCACCCTCCAGCCAATGACCCAGCATGGTGGTAGTCCTGAAGCTGGGCCAATTCTGCCCAATGTGGGACTCTTGCAGTGGCAGTCTTTGGTCAAAGAATCCCGCGGGCCTGGTTGAGACTTTCTCAGGTCGGTACTGTAGTCTAAAGCTCTTCCCACTTCCTCCTTTCTTTTCTTTCTCCTTCCAGCGGTGTCAGCCCTGCATTACCCCTCCCCCCCAAGCCCCCCACCCCTTTTCCTGCACCATCCCCCTTGCCCTCTGGAGGGTTTTCCCCAGAGTCTCTTCCATGTCTAATTCTGTCTTGGCATCTGAACTGACACACAGGAGTAAGGATGGGACCTCCCTTATAGGGTTGCTGTGAGAATCCAAATTTAACATACATGCTGTGCTTAGAATAGCGCTAGCACACTGCAAGTGTCAGACCTCATACTGAGACTGTGCATTCAATGGAGAATGAACCATGTCTTGTGCACTGTTGTGTATCAGTGTCTAACACTATGTCTGACTCAGAAAAGATGTTGAGTTAATGTTTGTTGAATGAAAATGATGATTAAACGAAGTCTTTGCAGACGAATGTTATTCGACAAGTTGATGAGGGCTGGAAAAAAGGAAGTGAGGAGAGAAACGTATGCAGAGGCACAGGAAGCCTGTACTGTGCGGGGTGCTGAAAACCACTTGTTATGACCAAAGAGTAGGGCCCAAGAGAGAAGGCTGAGGATGAAATCGGTGGCCAGAGCCCTGGGGAAGCATGTGAGTCAAACTAAGGAGTTTGCATTGCATAGACTCATCTCATGCAGGCATTGTGGTGTAGGCCTTTTGATGTCATAGTGGGTCCACATCCATCTTCGTCCTCTACCTGCGTTGTTGTGAATCGTACGAGTTCAGCCAACATGTACAGATTGCCAAAATATGGTGGACTTGCTCCAGAACTCCATAGAGAAACATAGGCATCTGCGACCTCCATTGCATCAGTGTTTTGCTTGGTCTACATTTACAAATTGCTTTGGCCACAACATCTCACCCACGCTATTGGGTCTCTAGACTGACCCCTGCCTTTACCACACTCTTTTAAAATCTACTCTCTGTTCCCTCTGTGAGACAAATCTTTCTAAATCTGGCCATCTTACTCTGTAGTTCAATGCCTCCAAGTAGCACACCCTCGTTACCTATAGCAGCAGTCCTCAGTCTTTTTAGCGTCAGGGATCAGTTTCCTGGAAGACAGTTTTTCCATGGACGGAGTGGGGAGTAGCAGGGGGAGCTAAGGGATGGGCAGTCATACCTTATTGCTAATGATAATCTGTATTTGCAGCCGCTCCCCAGGGCTAGCATCACCACCTCAGCTCCACCTCAGATCATCAGGCGCTAGATTCTCATAAGGAGTGCAACCTAGATCCCTGCCTGCACAGTTCACAATAGGGTTCCCACTCCTATGAGAATCTAATGTCGCATTGATTTGACAGAAGATGGAGCTCCGCCTACCTTCAGTTCACCTCCTGCTGTGTGGTCTGGTTCCTAACAGGCCCCAGACTGGTACCAGTCTGTAGCCTGGCAGTTGAGGAGCCCTGGCCTATGTCTAGACTCTTTAGTGTGGTGTAAATGACCCTACTCTCAGCTCTTCCTCTGTATGTTCTGCACTGCACCCTTGCAAGACTGCCTGTAGGTCTCAGGAAGTCTTGTTCTGTTCACTTCTCCATTCATGTGTACCTTGTTACTGCCTGGAGTATCCTTTCGTCCTGGTCTACTTTTTGAACTTTTTTTTTTGAGTTGGAGTCTTACTCCATCCTCCAGGCTGGAGTGCAGTGGCAAGCTCACAGCCACCCCAGCGTCTACCTGCTGGGCTCAGGCGATCCTTCTGCTTCAGCCTTCCAAGTAGCCAGAACTACAGGCACACATTACTACGCCAGGCTAATTTTTTGATTTATTGTAGAGATGAGGTCTCGCTAAGTTGTCCAGGCTGTTCTTGAACCCATAGGCTCAGGCAAACCTCTCACCTCGGCTTCCTAAAGTGCTGGGATTACAGGCTTGAGCCACTGCACCAGGCCTACTTTTTGATCTCTTACCTATCCTGTAGCAGTGTACAAAAATCATGGCTTCTCTGAAGCTGTTTCTGACTTTGCCAGTCTATGGGTCATCGTCCTCTGTTGCCTCATTTGGCTGTGTGTGTACTTCTGTTGTGGCACCTGTCACACTGCATTGCATTTGCTTGGTTACCTTGCTGACTCCCCTCCCTAGACTGTGGTTCCCTGAGGGTAGGACCAAGCATTAGTCTATACAGAGTCCCCATGTCTGTGCTACTTCTGGCCCACAGTAAATCCTGACTAGATAAAGAAAAAAGGAAGGAATAAAATTAAAGCCGTTCTCTTCCTATTGAAGGAGAAGGACGTACCCTCACCATGTGGCTCTACCTGGTGGCCCTTGTGGGCCTGTTCTACCTTGTGCGCTGGTACCGGGAGAGGCAAGTGGTGAGCCACCTCCAAGAAAAGTACGTGTTCATCACGGGTTGTGACTCGGGCTTTGGGAACCTGCTGGCCAGACAACTGGACGCGCGAGGCTTGAGGGTGCTGGCTGCGTGTCTGACGGAGAAAGGGGCTGAGCAGCTGAGGAACCGGACGTCAGACCGGCTGAAGACAGTGATCCTGGATGTCACGAAGACAGAGAACATCGCTGTAGCCACCCAGTGGGTGAAGGAGCACGTGGGGGACAAAGGTATGAAGGAGTATTTTCTCCTTTCATTTTTGTAGGTATGAAGATGCTAAGGATATGTATAGAGCTGTCCCTTCATATCTGTGGAGATTGGGTCCAAGGTCTCCTCTGGATACCAAAATCCACAGATCCTCAAGTTCCTTAGATAAAATGATGTGTTTGCATATAACTTATGCATATCTTCCTGTGTACTTTGAATATCTCTAGGTTACTTATAATACCAAATACAATATAAATGCTGTATACATAGAAATTATACTATATTGTTTAGGGAAATTATACTATATTGTTTAGGGACTAATAACAAGGAAAACATCTACACATATTCAGTGCAGGCACAAATTTTATTTTTTGAATCTATGGTGGGTTGAATCCACAGATACAGGGGCCGACTGTGTACACCAAAAGCAGGGCTTAAAAGGTTGGCTGTGTCACTTGAAGGACTGTGGAGATCTTTTGTGCTGTTTCACTTCATTAGCAATGTTTTCATTGAAAAATAAGTTCAATATAGTTGAGGCTATTATTTCTCGTAGCAAGTAGAGTATTTATAACAATTTTTTTTCCACCTTAAAATTTTTTATTTTAAAATTGTGGAGTACGGTTCAGGGTTAGGTATACAAATATTCATTCTGCAGGTACCCTTGTTGATGAGGTGTGTCCCCCCTTCCCCAAGCAGTTTCCCACTACTGCCAATCCCACCTCCTGCCCCCCCACACCCCTGCAGTTTCCCACTACTGTCAATCCTTTTCTTATGGTATTATGATAGTTGTTCTAGGTCCACTTTTGAGTGAGAACATGTGTTACTCAGTTCTTTGTTTCTGTGAAAGATCACTCAGTATTATAGACTCTAAGTTCCACCAGGTTGCTGTGAGGTTCATGATTTCGTTCTTTTTTATGGCTGCATAATATTCCATCGTGTATATGTACCACATTTTTTATCCAGTCCTCTTTTGATGAGCAGCACGGTAAGTTCCATGTTCTTGCAATTGTATGACACAATTCTTTATGTTTGAAGAGTTTTCAAGGTGCTCTTAAGAAACTGATTCATCTTCTCTTGACTACTAGTTAAAATGTAGGCATTCCTTTGGCCCTTCCCTTTAAAAAATTCCTTTTTCATTTCATTTTATTTATTTTTTTTACAATGAATACAGTATTTGTTAGATACATTTTAGGTTTATAGAAAATTGAACCAAAAGTACAGAGTTCCTTTATACTCTCTCCTAACCCAACAGTTCTCCTCCATTATTAACATCTTGCATTGGTTACATTTGTTACAATTGATGAACTGATATTGATATGTTGCTGTTAACTAAAGTCCATAGATTACATTAGGGTTCACTTTGTGTTATATAGTTTTATGGGTTTGGACAAATGTATAATGGCATGTGTCTGCCACTATAGTGTCATACAGAATAGTTTCAGTGCCTTAAAAATCCCCTCTGCTTTACATATTCATCACCTACTCCCCCCGTATTCTGCAACTTCTGCTCTTTTTAATGTCTCTATAGTTTTGCTTTTTCCAGGATATCATATAGTTGGAATCACATTATGTGGAGTCTTGTAGAATTTCTTCGTTCACATTACAATATGCATTTCACATTCCTCCACATCTTTTTGTAGCTTGACAACTCATTTCTTTTTCTTGCTGCACAATATTCCATTGTGCCACAGTTTATTTATCCATTCACTTACTCAAGTATGTCTTGGTTGCTATCAATTTTGTGGCAATTATGGGTATGTTGTCTTGTATTTTAAAGTTCTATTTTCTCTATATGTTATTCAACTCTTCTTTGATCTCATCCTCCTTCTCCCTTGGTTTTATGATTCAGTAGATCCTGGTAATGAGACCTTCTAAATAGCTCCTCACCCCAAGAGTTGCAAATTGCAACAACAAAAAAAAGTTTTTCTCAGCCAGGCACAGTAGAGTGTATCTGTGGTCCCAGTCATTCAGGAGGGTGAGGTGGGAGGATCTCTGAACCCAGGAGTTCAAGACTGTAATGTGCCACGATCAAGCTTGTAAACAGACCTTGCATCCCAACCTGGGGAATATAGCAAGAGTCATCTCTTAAGAAAATTATTTTGTGTAGGTGCAAATGTTTTAAGTTTTTTAAAAAAATGAATTTACTTTAAATTAAAAAGTTTTAAATTTACTTAGAAATATTACTTTCTATCTGAGGATGCTCTTAACTACCCAAGGCAGTCAGGGGTTATGGGTAGTTGTAACCTCTGTGCTATGCATACCCATTTATTTCGACTGTAGTGTTACTGTTTTCCCATCTGTTAGACTATGAGTTCTAAGAGACTTGAACTCTCTTACCTATTACTGTATTTCCAACTTCTGGCACATTTCCTGGTGCATGATAAGGGCTTAACAAATGCTGAGTGGATGCCATATACTGATAGTATTGGCATCTAATACTCAAAAAAAAAAAAAGAATTTAGAATTTAGAAGATGTTGGGGCAAAATCTCTCTCTCTTTATTTTTACACTTCTTGAAATGTCTTTATTTTGCCCTTATTCTTAAAAGATATTTTGCTAGATAGGCAGTTTAGAGTTTACAGCCATTTCCTCTCAGCACATTGACAGTATCATTCCACTGTCTTCTGGCTCTGCTGTTGCTGTTGATGAGTCAGTTGTCAGTTGAATGTTTTTTTTTTTTTTTGAGTAGGAGTCTCACTCTGTCGCCCAGACTGGAGTGCAGTGGTCGCTCCCCGCCACTGCAGCCTCGAGCCTCGACCTGCTGGGCTCCGGTAATCCTTCCACCTCAGCCTTCCGAGTAGCCGGAATTACAGGCATGTGCTACCACGCCCGGCTGGTTTTTTTATTTATTGTAGAGATGAGGTCTCGCCAAGTTGCCCAGGCGTGTCTCGAACCCGCAGGCTCAGGCAATCCACTCACCTCAGCCTCCCAAAGGTGCGGGATTACAGGCTGAGCCACCAAGCCCGGCTATGTTTTTCTTTTGAAAACAAACTGTTGGGCAACCCCCTTGGGTCCCTTCCCACTGTGAGAGCTTTTCTGTCTTCTCAATAAATCCTGCTTTCTTGGGGGGGCACTTCTTGAATCTGTGGATTAGTAGTGTCTTTCATCAGTTCTGAAAAATTCTCAGAATTTTACTATTTCAAATAGTGCCTTTATTACACTTGTCTCCTTTCTTTCTGGATCTGATTAGGCATGTTAGATATTTTCACTTTGTCCTTGGCTCCTTTTTCTTTCATGTTTTTAATCTCTTTTATTCTTTGTGCTGCAGTCTATATGTTTTCCTTTTTCTGTCTTCTGGGGTACTGCTTTCTCTTTTCCACTATGTCTATCTGCTATTAAATCTGTCCATCAAATTTTAAACTTTCAATTGTTGTACATTTTGTTGGTAGAGTTCTATTTGGTTCTTTTCCAAAACTGCTTGATCAATTTTGTAGTATCTTATCTTTATTAATATTTTCAATTCCTTCTTTTATTTTAAAATTATATTAGCATACTTATTTTATATTATATGTCTTATAATTCTAGTAACTAGCATCTTTGTGAGTGTTTCCTACTGGTAATTGCTTCTGCTGGTTCTTGCATTTGATGCATTGTTTCCTTGTGTGTTACTGATTTGTTAAAAAGAGTTGCTGCTTTTCTTTGTAACTTTATCTGGCAAGTCCTTGAGGCCTGAGAGAAATTTCTCTTTCGGGTAATTTTGTTGTTGTTTTTGTTAAAGGTGAGGTTTTTCTATGTTGCCCAGGCTGGACTTGAACCCCAAGTCCAAATTATCATTTCTCATCAGCTCCCTGAGTAGCTGAGAGTACAGGTATGCATCACTGCATCTGGCTTCCTCTAGATTGTATTTATGTTTGCTTCTATATGGTTCCTGGGAGTACTCAGAGCCATCGCCATTTTAGACTCAAATCTTGACTTGAGGTTTTTTAGACTCCCCGATAGTGTGAATTTGATCTGCACACTCTCATAAGGGATACCTTGTGTTATGACTCCTCAGGAGTGATTCTTCTTCTCTCTCCCCAATACCAACATTCAAAATAGGGAACTTTTTTCTAAAACCAAACTCTTGAATTGACTTTTACTGTTTTAGGACTCTGGGGCCTGGTCAACAATGCAGGCTGTGTTCACCCACTTGGCTACACTGAGTGGCAGAGACCTGAGGACTCCATGACTGTCTTCAAAGTGAACCTCATTGGCTTGATGGAGGTGACCATGAGCATGCTTCCCATGGTGAGGAGAGCACGGGGGAGGATTGTCAATGTCTCCAGCATCCTGGGAAGAATTGCTTTCTCTGGAGGAGCCTACTCTTCCTCAAAGTATGGAGTAGAAGCCTTTTCAGATGTTCTGAGGTAACTTTCTTAAGTTAAACAAAAGCAACTGTGGTGGAGCACTTAAATATGTCTTGGGTATCATGCTAGTTGCTTTCATCTCCATTATCTTATTTCATCACTCTCCAAATCTTGATACACACGTATTATTACTAATCTATTTTATATGGGACATTGAGGCTCAAATTTAAGTGTCTTTTCCAAAGTACACCTGCCACAGCCAGAATTTGGTGGAACTGTGTTTTGAACCCAAGTCTTTGTCTTTTGCCATCACATCATACTTCAATTTTCAAGATTTATCTTTGATAAGACTTTATTTCTGAAAAGTAGATGACTCTCTTCTTTCTTCCTAATAGAGAACTTGTCTTTGTCCCTTCATGGTGACTCTCTTTCTCATTGGCTCTTCATCTGCTTCCAACTAACATTTATTCCCTTTATTCTGTATCTTTTTTTAACGCAATACTTTCTTTTCTTATGATTTCAATTTGCCATGATCCCTAATGTCTCTGCTTCTGAAATAGGTTAGCTAGCTTAGGCATAGGGGGTGGAGGTGGAAAATTACTAAGCAGAGGTTAAACAAAATTTCTGTGATTTGTAACTAACATGAAACTGATACAAACTTCTTATGGCTTGTAACTGACAAAAACTTTCTGTAGCTTTTAACTGACATGAAACTGACACCAAAAAACTAGTTAAAAGCTAGCACTCCCTACCCAGTGTATCTCCACCTTTGGTGATTGTCTGTAGTCCCCTCTCTATTGTGTAATTTCGGCTCAAATTAAGGCTGTTTCTTTTACTGTGTGTGGCTGGTCCTTGAATTCTTTCCTGCAACAGAGTCAAAAGCCTATTCCTGAGTACAGGTTGAGGATCGTACTTTTTTTTTTTTTGAGTTGAAGACTCACTCTGTCGCCCAGACTGGAGTGCAGTGGCTGCTCCCGGCCACCGCAGCCTTGCCTGCTGGGCTCTAGTGATCCTTCCACCTCGGCCTTCCGAGTAGCCAGAATTACAGGCATGCGCTACCACGCCCGGCTGATTTTTTTATTTATTGTAGAGATGAGGTCTTGCTGCCCGGGCGGGTCTCGAACCCGTGGGCTCAGGCAATCCACTCACCTCAGCCTCCCAAAGGCGCAGGATTACAGAGGATCGTACTTCCAAGGAAGAAACTTCTGCCTTCCTATAGTGTCAGTGGAGGCAGTATGTTGGGTTGGGTCTGACTGGGGAGTAATGCCTCTCTCTTTTTTTTTTTTGAGTTGGAGTCTCACTCTGTCGCCCAGACTGGAGTGCATGGCCACCGCAGCCTCGACCTGCTGGGCTCCGGCGATCCTTCCCCCTCAGCCTTCTGAATAGCTGGAATTACAGGCATGCTCTACCACGCCCGGCTGATTTTTTTGATTTTATTGTAGAGATGAGGTCTTGCTTCCCGGGCGGGTCTCGAACCCGCGGGCTCAGGTAATCCACTCACCTCAGCCTCCCAAAGGCGTGGGATTACAGGCTGAGCCAACCAAGCCGGGCTTGCCTCTCTCTTGCTGGTGTGATCCTCCCCAAAACCCCTGCCATCATTTCTAATCCCTGGCTTAAAAAAAAAAAATACTTCAGCACTTATTTATTTGGAAAATACTTGCTGTGCACCATCTTGTCTAGTGTTGTTTGTGAGCAAATCTAAACATCTACCAACAAGAGAATGGGCGTAGAAAATAGAGTGCAGGGCCAGGCACAGGAGATCACGCCTGTCATCCCAGCACTTTGGGAGGCCAAGGCGAAAGGATTGCCTGAGCCCGGAGGTTTGGTACCAGCCTGGGCAACTTGGCGAGGCCTTGTCTCCATAATAAATCAAAAAATTAGCTGGGCATGGTGGGCATGTGCCTGAAGCCCCTTAACCCTGACTTTTTTCATGTGTTGTTTCAGCTTCAGGTCTCTCAACCAGCTGCTTCCTTCTCTTTATTGTTCATATATGTGTGTGTGTGTATATATATAAACACACACACACACTTATATATATGGAAAATATATATATGTGTATATTTTTTTAAAGAAAACTGTGTCTTGCCATTATATTTCCCAGGTTAGAATGTAGTAGCTATTCACAGGTATGATCACAGTGTACTACAATCTTGGATTCCTGGGCTCAGGCAATCCTTCCATTTCAGCTTCCTGAGTAGCTAGGACTATAGATCTGTGCCACTGCTCACAGTATATTTCCCTTATATTTTAATTCCTGAAAGAGAGCCCTATTGACTAAGATCATTTTTTGTGTGTGTGGGTCAACTGTCATCACATTGTGTGACAATGTTGTGCATTGATTAAGGCATTGTTGCATTTTACATCCATCAAATCATCTAACTTTCAAAACAACCCAACGAAGAAGGTATTCGTTTTTATTTTTATTGTATATCTGAGGAAACTAAGGTACAGAGGTTTAGTATTTGCTTATGGTCGTAGAGGTAATAACAGGCAGAGCCACTGTCTACCCCTAAGAGAGGCTTTCCTCCCATCAAGTACCCTCCCTAGTCTAATCAGCTGTGGACATGAGGGTATAGTCATATGGTCCAAAATATTGTTGTGCAAACTCCCCTTTAGCAGAGGTGGACCTTGGAGCAGTTTCACTTGGAAATGAGCTGTGAATATTACAAGCAGCAAGTATTAACTTTCTATGGCTACTGTAACGCATTATCACAGGGTAATATATGAGATATGATGCCTTAAAACAAAACATATTTATTCTCTCACTGTTCTGGAGACCAGAATTTCAAAATCAGTATCATTGGTTTAAAACTGAGGTGTTGACAGGGCCACATTGCTTCCAAAGTCTTGATGCAGAATTCGTTTCTTGCCTCTTCTGGCTTCTTTGGCTTGTGGCTATACCACTTCAGTCTCTGTTTTCATGGTAACATTGCCTCCTCTTCTTCTGTCAGTTATCAAATCTGCCTCTGCCTCTCTTATAATGATACTTGTAATTGCATTTTGGTTTCACCCAGATAATCTAAAATAATCTATCTCAAAACTTTTAACTTAATCACATCTGCAGAGTCTTTGCTACATAAGGTAATATTATAAGTTCCAGGATAATATTTAATTTGGAGTCTCATTCTGTCATCCAGGCTAGAATGCAGTGGCATAATCACAGCTCATCGCACCATCCTCTCGTTTCAGCTCAGGTGACCCTTCTCCTCAGCCTCCCACGTACCTGGGTACATGCCATCATGCCTGGCTAATTTTTTGATTTTTTGTAGAGGTGAGGTCTTGCTATGTTGCCTAGACTGGTATTGAACTCCTGAGTTCAAGAGATCCTCTTACCTAGGCCTCCCAAAATGCTGGGATTACAGATGTGAGCCACTATGCCCAGCCCCAGGTAACATTTATAGGTTTCTTAGTATGGTGTGTAGCACATAGACAGCCTCTGTGGTCACTCGATAAATATTTTTGGAACTGCCAATTCAACTAACCTGAGTATTCTGGAGTAACCTTTGACTCGTAATTTTAATGATCACATCATATTTCATTCATGATCTCTTGCAGTCTTTGAACACATGGTAATTTTCCCCAGGTCCATGGTTTTGTGTATGCAATTCCCACTGCCTGGTTTGCCACTCTTCCCCAGAAATTTCCTCTTCGTCCTTTAAGCCACAACTGAAGTGTTTTCTAAGCCACAACTGAAATATTTTCTTCTCAACAAAGTCCTCCTTGACCTTCTCTGAAAAAAATCTGTATCTTCCTCTCTACTTAGTCCCTTGCATACCTCTTCTTCATAATTATTTTGAGTTGTATTGCAATGATTTGCTTACTTGTTGGACTTACCCACTGTGAGCTTTTTGAGGTGAGGAATTGAGACTTACTCTTCTGAGATTTTACATGTTAATTATGAGCACCTTGCCAGTCATCATAAATGTTAGTTTCATTTATTATTATTTGTATCCCTTATGTTTCTAGTATCTAGTAGGTACTTAATAACTTTATTAAGAAAATGATTGTAGAATTGAATGGTTAGGATAGTTAGTATAAACATGTCCCAATTATTGGACATATGGATGTTTATATTTGTATTTTTTTCCTCTTAGTTTCTTTATCCTTTAACATATTAAGTAAAGGTATTTTCAATAATCTCTTTTGCTTTGCTTTTCCTTCCCTCATAGCATCTAAATGGTGGTGTCTTTCAATCAAAGGAGCTAACTTGCAAGTTTTAATTTTAGGCGTGAGCTTCAACATTTTGGGGTGAAAATCAGCATGGTTGAACCTGGCTACTTCAGAACGGGAATGACAGATGTGCAGCAGTCCTTAGAGAGAGGGAGGCAAGTCTGGGATGAAGCCCCTGTGCACATCAAGGAGGCCTATGGACAGCAGTTCTTTGATGACTGTAAGTTTTTTCCTTTGGATAGGAATAATGTGCACCCTTGCATGAGAAGGAGAAGAGAGGATTGGTGGACAATGTTTGGAAGATCCTCTGAAAACACAGATTGTTAATAATGTCTTCCTAGAATAGAAGGAGGCCAGGAAGTTCCTAGGACACTCATGGTTGGCTTGGTCTGATGGCTGTCGTAGTTGAGGTAGGGGACATCTAGGCAGTCTAGGGCCAGCCTTTTCCCTGCCCTGTCACATGTGTGCCTGGCCACTTGAGCACTAGCAGGTATTACATGCCCAGAGGCATAGAATCTCTGGGTCTTGAGAGAGGGTGTACCTTGGTTGTTTGGCAGGGCTTGTGTGAGATACCTGCTCACCTGAAGTGCAGTCTTCATCATTGTTTACCCTTTTGGTAACAAAAGGTCTGTCCACAAACTGTGTGTCTTACCGTGAACAGAAAGGAAGGTGTAGGTGGGAATAGTTAAGTGGATGAGGATAAGATCTGTGGGACTTTAGGGGGCATTCCCAGAGACTAGACCTTCATGTTTAGGCCACAGGAACCTCATGGGGATGCGATTGTTCAATTTCATGTGAGACCATAATTCTGACCACCTGGAAGAAGAGGTGATGACAAGTTGGGTGGGAGGCAAAGCCATCCTCTTAGTAGAAGTAGGCCATGCTCACTAGTGTGGGGCTGCACTGCCCTGGGGGAAGGGATGCTTTTTTCCCCCTTATACAAAGGTGTCAACAACTTGCCAAGACTGAAGGGTGGTGGATAGCAGCAGGCCTGTCAGCGGCTTTGGACGGTGTTGCAGAGAAAAGGAGAAGGAGAATGTGCAGATAGAAGATTCCCAACCTAAAGTACTGTCTTCTGGGTCCGTCGGGCCTGAGAGGGACACCATCAACAGAGGGGAGAGAAATTGGATTAAGGAAAGGCTGACAAGACAGTAGCTGAGCCTCTCACAACTCATAACTAGTTAGGAAACTACAGTTGCCAAAAGGCTGAAAGGGCCAGCCATTGTTTGTTTGTTTGTTTTTGAGTTGGAGTCTCACTCGGTCACCCAGACTGGAGTGCAGTGGCCGCTCCCGGCCACCGCAGCCTCGACCTGCTGGGCTCCGGCGATTCTTCCGACTCAGCCTTCCAAGTAGCCGGAATTACAGGCACGCGCTACCATGCCCGGCTGATTTTTTGCTTTATTGTAGAGATGAGGTCTCGCCGCCCAGGCGGGTCTTGAACCTGCAGGCTCAGGCAATCCACTCACCTCAGCCTCCTAAAGGCGCGGGATTACAGGCTGAGCCACTGAGCCCGGCTAGGGCCAGCCATTGTTATAAGCTCTTCCTCACCTAAAGTTTTAAACCATTAAGGATTTTTTTTTTTACTTTGTGGTTGCCTATAGTTCAACAATATAAATCAATAGGAAACTAGAACTGCCCAAAAAGTGACTACATAAAATGTGAGATACATGTATTTTGTGATTTAAAAGAAATTGAAATGATTTATATATTTTTCCACGGGTCAGAATAATCTAGATCAGTGCTGTCCAGTAGAAATATAATGAGAGCCACTTATGTTATCTTACATTTTCTAGTAGCTACATTAAAAGAAGGAGAAAGAGACAAGTGAGCCTAATTTTAATAATATACATTTGAACTACTACTATTCAACGTCCTACTGCAAATCCTAGCAAGATCTGGGGAGAGAAAGAAATAAAAGGCATTGAAATAAACCAGAAAGAAGTCAAACTATCTCTGTTCACTGATGGCATGATTGTATACCTAGGAAACCTAAAGACTCCTCCAAGAGGCATTTAGGCCTGAAAAACGACTTCAGTAAAGTCTCAGGATACAAAATCAGTGCACAGAAATCAGCAGTGATTCTATACACTAAAACACTCAAGTCGAGAGCCAGATCAAGAACTCAATTTCATTTGCAATAGTTACAAAAAATAAAAAAAAACCCAGGAATACTCTTACCCAAGGAGGTGAGAGATCTCTACAAGGAGGATTACAAAATGCTGATGAAAGAAATTGTAGACAACACAAAAAAATGGCAGAACATTCCATGCTTATGGGTCGGAAGAACCAATATTGTTAAAATGACTACAATACCCAAAGCAATCTACAGATTCAACTAATCCCTACAAAAATACCAATGTCATTTTTCACAGAAGTAGAAAAAAACAATCCTAAAGTTTATATGGAATCAAAAAGGAGCCCAAGTAGCTGAAGCAATCCTAAGTAAAAAGAACAAATGCAGAGGCATCATATTGTCTTACTTCAAATTACACTATAAGGCCAAAATAACCAAAACAGCATGGCACTGACACAAGAATAGACAGACAGATCATTGGAACAGATTAAAGTACCTAGAAATAAAGCCTTATACCTCCAACTAACTGATCTTTGACAAAGCTGACAAAAATAAACAAGCAATGGGAAAGGATAACCTATTCAATAAATGTTGCTGGGAAAACTGGCTAGCCATCTGCGGAAGAATGAAATTGCATTCCTACCTCTCACCATATACAGAAATTAACTCAGGATGGATTAAAGATTTAAATGTAAGACCTGAAACTATAAAAACCCTAGACAAAAACCTAGACACTCACCTAGGCAAAGAATTTGTGAAGAAGTTTCCAAAAACAAATGAGGCAAAACTAAAAATAGACAAATGTGACTTAATTGAACTAAAAACCTGCTCAGCAAAAGAAATAATCAACAGAGTGAGCAGAAAACCTAAGAAGTGGGAAGAAATATTTGCATCCCCATCAAAAAGTTGGCAAAGATCATGAATTGACACTTCCTCCAAAGAAGACGCATACGTGTCCAACAAATATACGAAAAAATGCTCAACATCACTAATTGTCAGAGAAATGTAAATTAAAGCCACAGTAAGATATCATCTTACACCAATCAGTATGGCTATTATTAAAAAGTCAAAGAGCAACAGATGTAATAGATGTGGAGAAAGGAGAATGCTCATACACTGTTGGAAGTATTGTAAACTAGTTTAACCTCTATGGAAATTAGTATGGAGATTTCTGAAATAATTAAAAATAGGACTACCAGTAGACTCAGCAATCTTATTACTGGGTATCTAACCAAAGGAAAATAAATCGTTACATTAAAAAATATACCTAGCCAGATGCAGTATCTCATGCCTGAAATCCTAGCACTTTGGGAAGTGGACATGGATGGATTGCTTGAGCCCCGGAGTTTGAAACTAGTCTGGGCAACATAGCAAGACTGTTTCAACAAAAATAAAAATAAAAAAATTAGCTGGGTGTGGTGGCATGTACCTGTAGTCCCAGCTGCTTGGGAGGCTGAAGTAGAAGGATAGCCTAATCCCAGGAGGTTGAGGCCATGGTGAGCCATGATTGTGCCACTGCACTTCAGCCTGGGTGCCAGAGTCAGACCCTGGCTCAAAAAAAGAAAAAAAAGATATCTATACTCATTTGTTCGTTGCAACACTATTGGCAATAGCAAAATCATGGACCCTCCTAAATGCCCATCATGATTGACTGGATACACAAAATATGGTACATCTACACCATGGGATACTATGCAGCCATAAAAAACCCCAAATCATGTTTTTTGCAGCCACACGGATGGAGCTGGAGAACATCATCCTAAGGGAACTAACTCAGAAACGGAAAACCAAACACCGCATAGTCTCACTTATACATGGGCGCTAAATGGTCACAAGGGTGGAAATAGCAGACTTTGGGGACACTAAAAGGAGGGGAGGTGGGAAGAGGGGGTAGGGTCCAGAAGTTAACTATTGGGTCTGGGGAATAGGTCACCTGAAGCCCAATTCCTACCAGTATGCAGTATGTAACAAACACATGTTTGTGTCCCTGAATCTAAAATCAATAACAAAAAATCCCATTTTATTTCAGTTATCATCTATATCCAAAATACTATCATCTCAACCTTTATTACTGATATTAAAGTTATTTTATATTCCTTTTCATGTTATTCTTTGAAAATTGGCTTATATATTTTATATTTATAGCCCCTTTCAATTCGGATGCTAAATTTTCTTAGGAAATACTACATTTGCATTATTCAGATTTCATAAAATCTGTAGTATTTCCAGCAGTATTACTCACAGTAACCCCAAAGTGGAAACAGCCCAGATGTCCCTCAACAGATGAGTGGATAAATAAAACATGATGCAGTCATACATTGGAATGTTATTTGGCAGTAAGAAGGAATGAAGTACTGATACCTGCTACAACATGAAGGAACCTTGAAAACGTTTGCTTAGTGACAGAAGACAGTCACAAGGATGACAAGTATGATTCCATTGATACAAAATGTCCACAAAAGGCAAATCCATAGAGACAGAAAGTAGATTAGTGGTTGCCTGAGCTGGGAGGATTGGAGTGAAATGGGAAACGAAACAGGGTTTCTTTTTGGGATGATGAAAACGTTCTAGACTTAGGCTTGAATCGTACCACTCTGAATATACTAAAAAATCATTGATTTGTACACTTTAAATGACTGAATTGGATGACATATGAATTATATCTAGATAAGGATGTTAAAAAATATCCGAGTGGAGCCGGGCTCGGTGGCTTAGCCTGTAATCCCGCGCCTTTGGGAGGCTGAGGTGAGTGGATTGCCTGAGC